GCAACATATAATTCTAGATAACCTACTCAAACACAAATTTCTTTGTCGTTACTACTTGTAAAATATAAGGAATCACCTCTAGTCCTATATTAATCCTGACTAATTCAGGTAACCTATTTGGTAGGATAATTAATTCTATCAGTTTCTCCAAAGGATTGCTCAATTCATTTTCTAATGCGAAGTCCAATCCTTACTCCAGTAGAAGTTACACGCCTTTCTCTAGATAAGAGCTAGACAAAATATCTACTTTATCTTGTAAAATTTGTTTAAACTACCTTTACTACTTTTACTTTAGATGCAAATTCCTTTGAACTAAGCCAAATACTCATGTTTTAAAGTTTTTTATCATGTACAGCACTAGTTATAGTATAGATTTATCCATTAAGACCGTTATCCATATTTTGTAACTTAAGAAAATTATCTTCATTTAGATTCTGAGAAAGTATCTGTCGTAATATGATTTTGGTTAGAATAAGTTTGCTGATGTCTTCAATGCTCTCCTTAAGACTAATTATAAAAAGACCACTTAATACATTATCCAGTCATATAATAATGGTAAATACATTAAATATGAGGAGTAGTTGTAGAAGGTAGAATAAAAAATTAATTTGCATAATTTAAAAAGTAAAGAATAATGAGCCGTCTTAATAAAGAAGGTGACTAAACTTGTCGGCTGGTTATAAATAAATTCAAACTTGTTCAACAAGGATATTAAACTCATGAACCAGAATATATTTACGATATTAAGCAAACTAGGTCATAGAAGTGGGTCAACCTCTTTGTTGCAACTTGGTTTGTTGTCAGAGCGACTTAGTAGAACCCACCTAGTTCGAAGTCGTCTTCCATAGTAGTTGTCATGATACCTAGCATCAGACAGTGGACTTGGTACTTTCTCAAAAATTTCACCTTGATCATCAGTGAGTTTTGCCATTCTCCGCACCAAGTTACGAACTCGTCAAAGAGACAAGTGAAGTCAATCCTTTGACTAACGATCTGCCGAAAACGGTTACACTATCACTCCTCTTTCTGTCCTGGCCTATTTATTTACTTTTTACCCTCTTATCTCACTGCTGCATATCACAATTTTTGACTTGTTTACATTTCACTCGTCAAACTGTGTGCCCTTTTGTAGCATAAATAATGTGGCCTCATCAAACTTGCTATTCACCCAGACCCCTTCTCTTTTGATCGGTTGATCCAACTCGGGCCTCTAATCCGGATCCCTTCCTTGCCTCGTGGATCCGTTCCTTATCCTTCTGGTTGACCAATTTTACTCGAGTCCAGTTCCTGTGTGCATTTCACTCTAGGCGCTATTTCTCAAGGACCTAGAAGCACATACACTGCTGCTTCACTGAGCGGAATGCTTAAGGTCTGATTCCTATGCTTGCAGATATCAGGCCTTCCCTACACTGGTCGTCTTCTCATCTCATCTCATCTTATCTCATGTCATGTCATGTCATGTCATGTCATGTCATGTCATGTCATCTCAT